GCTGTGATAGTGTGTTACTCTTAGAGATACAAAATTTCCAAATCTGGTTCGGTTTCAGTGACCTAAATAAAGACTTACAGGATTATGACAAAATGGGTATTTTTTTTTTAGGAAAATATCAAAGGGAAAATTACTTTGTCAAATCTGCTCCCATTCTCACCTCAAACTAACCTGCCTACTTCCTAAAATACTACTTCTCTCCTCTCTGCTCTCATCTGCCACTTCCTGAGCAACAGCTGTATCAAAGACACTTTTTCTTCTCTGTTTCTGTTCTGTCTAAAAATAAAGTCATTAACCTGCAGGTGGTGAAGCCGGCGGCTGGCATGACAGGCCCCGATGCTGTCAGATGCCCTCTGACCCCGTGATGTGACTGCCTGCCACAGTATTGACAGGACAGCAGCAAGACATGCTTATTTCTGAGGATACTTTCTCATCCAGCATGACGTGGCTGTAGACAAACAAGAATGTTTCTGTTGTATGGCTTTGTTTGACAGTGGGTAAAGGGGATGGATGGAGGCAGTGTATGTGTGAGTGTTTATGTCTGCCTCGCTCCGCAGCCAAATCTGCGAGAGTGAGAATGAGCTCTAGAGTGGACGTTGGAAGGCTTTAAGAGGTGCAGACACACTAATGTAGCCAAAACTTTCGGTTTCCAGTCCCCCAAGACAAACTACTGGAGCGATGTGTGGAGAGAGGCTGTGAGCGAGGGAGGGAGAGAAAGAGATAGGGACAGAGAGGAAAGGCTAAGCGGAAGAGAGTGGGAGGGACAGAGGGGAGGGGGGTAAAATAAGGATCATATGTTTCTGACAGATCTCATCAACTCACAACACATCACGGGGCCTCTACCGTAACACATTTATTACAGACAAAACACAGGTTCACAGGAGGGGGTTTACACTGTATGTGTGCACTGTAGCATATGTGTGCATCTTTAAAGGAGGCGTGTGCACTGTCGTGTTCATAGAACAGGTGTGTGCGCATCTGTGGGTGCGTGCATGCATTTGTGGGAGCCTAGTTTTGAATGTTCACATGCATGTTTGTGTGTGTAGGTGTGTGTGTGTGCATATTTCAGCTAGCCTCCACCTGAATGGCCCGAGGCTGTGATGCCGGAGTTGTTAGAAGACAAACAGAGGCACAGGAAGTCCAAGCCAGGAGCCCCTGAGGACAGCACGCACAATCTACTGCATACCTGCTCTTAACTTCACACACTCCCACTGTCAGTCATAGCCACCACCTCAGCATACGTTTTGCCTCCTAAACCCACAAAACAGACACACCTCCTCTAACTCCCTCTTAGACACACACATTTAGGCCCAGCCTGTCCCTCAGGCCCACTGCTGTGTGCCAAGTCTGGCCTGGCATAGTCCTCAGAGGGGTGTCCTCAGGCAAGGCTTGCCAAGTCAAAGACTCTTTCATGTTCAGCCTGCACGCCCAGGGTAGTAAAGCTACAAACAGCGAGACACACACACTTTTACACACACACGGAAACCTATAAACATTTTTAAGTGGTCAAAACCACACTTACGCACACATAAATGTACACATTTACACGTACATTAGTTTCACAGCATCCGCACTCAAGATGTAAACACTCAGTAGACTTGAACACAGCCAGCACCGCTAACATTTAATCCAACAACAAAGGCTGACGAATTTCCACTGACAACATTTGTGGGTGTTTAGAGCTTGGCTTCAGCATACAAAAATGGCCTCCATGAAAAATTCATCCTAAAAACCACTCCTGTTCACCTTCATTAAAACGTAGTGGAGCCCACTGCCAAAAATAGGACTGATTTTATCACAGCCCAAAGCGACTGTAGGATCATATTAGAGTCACTTTTTTACAGACAATGGAGTCCGTATGTTAAAATATTAGCTGGTGTCCAATCATTGCAGCAGCACGCATCTTTGCCTTTTCAGTATCAATTAAAGTGATCACCCAAACAAAAGCACCGGATATAAACTTGCACAGTGACCCATATGTCTGCTGACGCATATGCACACTGGACACAGGAAAAGATATCGCTACCAAGGAGCCCCCCGCCACCACTAATGCACAATCTCCACGCACTGCCCAGCCCCCCAGTTCTGCATGACAGGCACCCAGTGTGTGTGTATATGTATTTGCTTGGTGAAGGAGGGGATATTGGAGAAAGGTGGCACAATGCCAATATGGAGCCTGCTAAATACCTTTGTCTCCACAACACACGGGGAGAAACAGGACAGGCAAGCTGCTGCAAGAAAATGCTCCACAGCCACAGAGGTGTTGCAAGAAATGCTTCTCCGTTGTTTGAATGTTTTCTTCCTCATAGAGAAAAAAGGGTGAAAGGTGGCTGCCGTAATTGACTCAGTATCGATTCAGAGTCCAGGTTACAATGGAGGCAGGGCGCTGGAAAGAAGCTGAAGTGTGAGATGGTGGTCGATTTCCACGGTTGCAGTGGCCTCATTAACACACGTGGCTACACTGGTGAGAATTCAAAAGGGTGCTAATGCTGGGATGGATAAATACAGGGCAGAACAATGTAGTAATAATACCTCAAAAAAATGTGGTACAAAATTCGTGCAATCTTTTCTTGTAATTTCTTGTAAATAGGTCAAGAAGAAGACAATATGCACTGTGGTTGTGTATCGAATTTATAAAGACTGGACTCTAATTTATTTATTGTGCTAATAACAATTGCGTTTACGCCATGAAATAATTAATGTAAATAAAAACTTTGAATCCACTTTACCGGTTTGTCTCTTTAATAGCAATTTTATGCTGGGAAATAAAAGCAGCTTTATACGCTGCAATCACATTTGCTTGAGAAGCCATCATCTGCTCTATTTCTGGGACAACCGTGGTCTGTAGACAAGCTACGATGTCTCTATGCATATCTTTAATTGTTTATCATGCAAATGACGGTACGCAGGCTGCTCTGCCCTCGTCTAACAGCTCACAGCCCCAGACTGCAGACCCAAACCCCAGCTGCAGTCATGAGACTCCCAGACAGCCTCAGCTGTCCTGTAGAGACAGACTGAGGGGCACAGCTTCATCCCGAGCTATCGGTCTATTACGTACTGCCCCTCATTCCTCAGCCCCTCACCCTTCTCATATCCACCCCACCTACAAGTTCAACCATTCTGGGTGTCAGCTCCCTTTAGTCAAGCAGCAACTTTCCTTAACCTAGCCAGAGCCGCTGCCTTCGCAAACTGCTGTCCATATGGAAATCCGTCGGTGTCAAGTGATATTTCAGGAGTGGAGGTGGAGATTGGAAGGGTCACTTTCATTTGAATGATGCAGGGGAGCAAGATGCAGGGAAATCTTTAAGGGTGTAATTTATCATACACTCGCCTGGATTGGACTGGGCTTGAGGCATGTGTAGGAACAGTATATATTGAGATGCCTCAGCTCAGTGTCAGCCTCTAACTGAGCAGGGTAAGAGAACATGGCAGATAGCATATGGAGTATGGGGTGGCGCGCTGGCACTGCCAGTCTGTATCCATCAATCTTGGACAAAAAAAAAAAAAGCAGTGGGACGAGGCAATATGCTTATAGGCTTATATGCAATGCATGTATAACTGATATGATGTCCTGCACAGACTCTGCAGCACAGACTGTTCATTTTGACCTCGGATTTTATAACAGGATGATAACAAAAGGTGAGGTGAGGCGTCACAACAGGATGCAATCATGCACCACATACAGTCAATTTAACCTATTCATCATTAACCCAAGGAAATCCTGACTGTTACACAATGTCCAAAGAAATGAGACCTATAAATAAAGCTCTTCGCACAGTGCTAGTGACCTCATGATATCATGTGAACTCCATTGCACGACGATCCAAGTGAGCAAGGAAAGGCGTGTTCGAACAGCTGACAAGGCCAAGAGGCATGTCAGAAGAATGTGTGTTTTTTGAGCATGTGTGCGTCCATCCCAGTTTGTGAGAAAGATTCTCGACAAACCGCACACTAATGAACAGTGGTTATTCTGTATGGCAGAGTGCTAAAACATTGACACCAAATAACAGTAGCCCTTTACAATGCCGTCTGCAAAGCCAAAGCGCTGACTAATACAGCACAGTAGTGCTCATTATTGAAAACTGCCCTCTATGCGTTCAGCCTGAATTGGCTTCAAATTCAATCACAACTGCCCAGGCAATCAGCGCAGTCTGGCACATGCTATCAGATCTGTTAAAGGAAATGAATAAACATCAAAATGGGCTGGTCAAAATCAAACTCCACTCTATAAAACCAGTCATAAGGGACCCATGCTTGTTTGCACAGCAACTCATGTTTTCACAACAGCCTCATTTAGCCCCAGTGGACAACCAACAAACCAACTAGCTGCCTTAAGAAGTCCTTAATTACTCAAATCAAGAAAAACACTGACAATTAGTGGCTGTAGTGTTCCTCAAATAAACAGTTCTTCCTTGACAGATCAACGTAATTACATTCTTTTCTATCTCTTTAATTTTAGAATCACAGTGAGCTTCAGCAGGCGCATATTTGAGGGTACAAGAGATATGGCAGTGTAATAAGCCAGGCAGGGATAGAGATACATCTCTCGCGACCACATGAGAGAGAATGTTGAAGTCCAAAGGATCTGAGCACATCTGTGATGCAGCAACAAACCAAAAGAAACTGATCTCTCCTTTCTCTGTCTTTTTATAATCTGTTTCTTTGTCTGTCTCCACGCGTCTTTTTCGGTGCCTTTTATCAATATCCTTATTAATCTTCATGTGTATTCATGACTCTACTGAGGAAAATTCGCAACTCCTAAATGTAGCAGCAGACATTTCGCCGTCAGGTTACGCTGATTGGACACATCCTCACTACTAGAAGGGAAATTTCAGCGAGTATTTGTTGTCTTCTGTGATAAACTGTCTATGAACCTTAAAAGTGTGACCCACTCCACACAATCTAGAGCTTCAAGACTCTATTCACGCTTGAATGCAAATTTCTCCCGCTCATCTGTTTACTCTTGCATGGCAGCCATGTTAAGCTTCCAGTGTGTTTACCTGTTATATTCTCCTGCTTAGGGATTATTCCTTGCAAGGGTGCAGATAAACAATCCTCATCCTGCGGTGACACCTGAACAGCCACCTCGACAGGTTGACGCACCCTCCTTTGGTGCTGATGGTGGGTCCGCGAGTGTGACGAGGATGTGGAAAGAGGAGAGGCGAGCGGGGAGGATGGTGGCCTGTCCAGAGGTTTGTCCACACAGAGGCTACCGTGGCACTGCCTCCGTTTGTGTTCAATGAAAAGCAGGATGTCAGCTAAGGGGAAGCGAGAGTGGCACTGGCCGCAGGTCAGCAGGTCCTGGTCCCCTTTTAGGGGCTCGCCCTGAGCCACTCCCAGGCTGGGGGAGTCCTGAGAGTCTTCTTCTGGTAAAACACCTGAGAGCGGCTCAGCTGGATAAGGAAAAGAAGAAAGACAGTTGTGACATGTAGTGAAGCGAGAATTGATATTTTTCAGTCATTGGAAATGGATTCCTACATACACTGTTATTATATTTTCTTGTAAAGGAATAAGGCCGAGGAGTATATGTGCAGATGGGATTTTTAGGAAAGAAAGAAGGCAGAAAGGAAGAAAGAGAACACAGACTGCTTCGATAAGGACTGACATGTTCAGCTCGCAGGCAGCAGTCAAACGATTAAGTTGCTTGACCCTCTTTATTGTGCTGCCAATCTCGCTTTTTTAATGAACCTAACACCTCTGAGAATCAAAAAATAGATTCTAATTTGAGTTCAAGATGATTGGACCCCATTTCGTTAAAAGTGCTGGGATCTCGTGAACCAAGGTTAGACATTGAGGGGTTGGATGTGGAGTAGGTCCCTGAAGTAGAGCGAGAGAAAGAGAGAGAGAGAGAGAGAGTGAGCAGAGAGAGCATTTTAAAAGAAGTCATCTAGCCACATGGTAAACGACACTTGGCGCCCCGACTGGGATGTTGAGATAAGATGTGATGAATTCTTGCCGCCGGTTCAAGCTTTAATTCTATATCAGGTCAGATGAGAAGGTGGTGAGGGACTATGCAAGATAGGCCCTGTTACTTGTATGTTGAGTTGCATTAAAGATGAGGGAATTCACCCCTATTTTACTTATCTTAACCAGCTTATGCCATGGACACATACAAGGTGTGTGAGGTTGGTTTAGGTGGAAAGATTTTCTTCAAACCAAATAATCTCATTCTGATGTCAAGCAAGAGTGATGTGAATAACTTTGAAAGCTAAAATATAATGTGGTTTTTTTTTTCTGATATCACACTGTGCTAGAATTTAAAGTAGTTTAGGCGAAGGCTTCCCACTGGGTTACAGCAGCAGGTCTCTTCCACTATCAGAAAAATCATTAGGTCTTTTTTACTGTTTTAGAGTATCATGACTCCCTGTAATACCGGCAGATCATTCATTGCATTCTACAGTCCCTCACTGAAAACACCAAAGGGATTATTTTCATTTTAAAATAAATGCAAAAATTAAAAGGAAGCGCCTATTTAAATTTCTAATGGTGCCTTTTTGCGACACGAGAGCTGACAGTTAGCACTAGAACAGAATTTTGCAGTGTTTTCATGCAGTCTTATTTATTTTTGCAATAATTTAAAAAAACACAATTAATATTCCAAAGTAAATTAAACTGATTTGGGTCATAACCAATAACAGAATTATACTGGTCAAAAGCAAAATCTTCATGTCATTAAACAAAAGCATATTTAAACTCTTTGGTCATTTTTTCTTCATAATTTAAGGTCTGTAACTGTTTCTTTGTAAACACTTTATTTCTGGATCCTCTTTGAATGTGAGGAATATTGTACCTTTAGTGTACCTTTAGAAAAAATATGAATACATTCAAGGGAACATAAAATATGTAATAACCTACTGCTGCTGAACCGATCCTGTGCATGAGCTTGGTCAAGCAGGACAGGATAAAGTGGAGCAAGTTCAAGTTCACGAGTGGCCTGTAGGACTACAATCAAATTGCGCCCCCCACTGGCAACCCATCTGACAGCTTTTCGTCAAATCATAGAATAAATGTTGCCAGAGCATAATTTGTTTCAGCGGCAATAAGAAGAGCATGCAGAAATACATACAAGAATAAAGATTAAAAAAAAGCACAGGTTCTTAATTTCGATCTCTAACTTACACGTAAACAGCCTACCTAGTCTGGAGACGTCTCCGCATTTACTGACGCGCGAAGAGTGCATTGATAAAGCAATATACTGATGAAGCTCTTAACCGACGAATGGAGCGAAATAATTCTTCGGCAAAGAACAATTGGTCTAAACTGTGCGAAGAATGTGACATTCAATCAAAATCAATGCCCTGCAGTTTTACCATACACGCGCGTAAAACGACTGTCCTTCTTTTCTCTTCCTTCATCTCAAAACAGTATCGCGCACGGAGATTCCTGCGTATTTATGCAATTTATGGATACAAATGGATTGGATATACCGTGTTTAAACGCCAGCGGTGAAAAAATTGTTGCAAAGAAACTGCATTCCTTGTAGGTAACGCACACGAGGTCTTTGCGCTTCGGACAAGTGTGTGTGTGTGTGTCTCTGAGTGTGTGTCTGTGCGTGTGTAAACACCACTTCCCTGTGTCCAAACCAACTAGGACCTTTGTAAATGCATTTTTACAGTTAAAAAGGACCTGCAGTGTAGTAGTACTGTGGCTTCAAAAGGTGCACATGGAAACTTAAGTGAATGGCAGCAGTTGTAACTCTGTGCCGCCTTCATATAGGCAAAGGTCTCTGACCATAAAGCTCATGCATGCCCTTTAATGGCGAAAGAAACCTTGAAGGCTGTGTTATACAACGCGTTAACCAACACAAGTTGAGCTTCCCTGTCACGCTGCTCCAAAACTTCCTATAGAAGACCTCGTGATGATTATAAAGATAACCTGTAGTCTTGGATATGTTTGCGATTTGTCATTTTAGTCAGGACAGCGGTGGGTCCGTGCGTGGACGTATCCTAAGTATTAAAAGAAAGTTGCCGTATACAGAAAAAGATGGGTCACCGAGAGGAAAAACCAATGAAATTAAGTCGAAATGCAATGTATCTCCACTTACGCGAAAACTCCCGTTTGCTCAAGTGCTGGGGTTTGCCCTGCTTGCGGCGAGACATGTTGGTTTAGTGACGGATTTTCAGCTGAGTTCACATTGGGAAATCCTTTCCTACAAGGTAAACTCCAAATGAAATATCTTCATTGATGCGTCTGACAGCCAACAAGGAAAAAAAGCAATGAGCTGCTGATCATACAGAGGGTGAGGAGTAGTGCGGTGCGGGCTCTGCGGAGCTCTTCATGACTTTTTTGCAAAGAGAGAGTGATGGGGGTATAGTGAAGCCCCCTGCGCTGCAAGTTCAAGTGCGGACGTGACGTTCTGCGAACTTGAACGTCAGGCGCTGGACGAACTGAGACATACAAAACATGGGCAGGGCGAAGGCGGCCAGTGGGAGGGGGACAAGCCATAATAAAAGCCAATGGACACTCATTATGGACTACCTATGGAAGAGAAGAGAAAAAAGGGAGACCCCGAAGACACCAATGGACGAAGGGGATCAAGGGGGCTGGGCTAAGAGGGAGAGCGAGGGAGAGAAAGAGAGACACTGTTTTACAAGGAGAGCAGTAAAAAGCGCGTGAACCAAAGAGCGTGTGTAACAAGGATGTAGTGGTGGATAAACCCAGCTCTTGCACTCGTGTTTATTAGTTGTTGTTGTTTTTTTTCAAGCCACTATGAATATGCAGTCTTTATGCAAATTTACAGTGCAGACTGGAAATGTCATTAACACTGAATAAAGTGTTTTTATTTTAATCGGCCTTCTTGAGCTAAACTAATTGAAATGTTATTCTCTAACAGGATGAACTAAACTCTGTTTTTTGTTGTTTTTGCTGAATTTGTTTAATTTGTTTGCTTTCCTGAGAAGTGGTGATAGACCGGCCATTCTCTCTGGGCTTTTGCCTTGTATACAGGGAAAGCTAAAGTTAACTACCTGCAATTAAAAGAATGTGAAATGAGATTCATAAATAGTTTTATATAATATACTTAAATATAAGAATGTACCCGTTTTGTTCGATGGTGGACGTGTAAAAGATAAAGAAAGGGAAAAAAAGAAATTAGAGTTAGAGTGTAACGTGCTTTGATTTACAAAACAATTTGGTGTAAGTAAAGCCCTTCTGTCAGCTTGTGGAATGCACCTGAGCCTGTATTACAAAACTGAAGAGAAACGTGGATTTAACTCTAATTTATGTTACAGGTAAGCAGCATTTCAGTAAAGCATTCTGAAATACTTAACAACAACAGCAACAACAAAAAACAAATAAACATTATGCATTCCAGACCTAATTGGATTTTATAACGCACCGATAAAACTTAAGTCTCAGCTTCATTCATTCAGCTGTTGCATTTAAATATTGGGCCCATTCATTATGGCTGAAGCCAGTGTGGGATTTTAATTTTTTTCAAGTTTTCCAGTGATCAGATTGGATTAACGTGTACAGTCAAGTGCGCTTGCTTTTAAACAAAGCTAGTAATTCATGACTAATGGAACCTATAGGGGGCATGTCCAACAAAAACAGTGTGTGGCAAGTGGATTAAGGTGGCCTAATGGGCAGGTTTATACCCTATACTCTCTCACCTGACCTTCGTATGTCATTATGCAGTTACAGAAAAGCCGAAAAGATGCTGGGCAATAATTTTTTCCTTTATTTTTGTTTTATGTTTAATAAAGTTTATTAGAATTGCATAAAAGCCCCTTCTCTAACTTAATGCAAATAAAGCCGGAGGACCTTAACAGCACCCATACTTTTTAAAAATGGTTTGCTTTTATTTTGTTGATTATATATTAGCTTCATAATCACGCTCAACAATTGAATTTACGTCGGCATCGAAATCACAACAAAGTACTTTGGCTCCATCTAGTGGCTCAACACAAGACTGACCTTTAATAGCCTATCATAACCTGTGTCCTAACATAATTATACAGAGCTGGAAACCAGTAGACTACTCACTCTAGTGCTTAATTTAAAACACTGAAATACTAACATAGCAGCTAGATTATAATTTTAAAAAATTTCAATGCAAATATAATCAAATCGTATCATTTATATACAATGCATGCATTTAATTTCCTATTATTGTACTCTACCTTTCAGCGTTTTCAGTCTTACGATTGTAATTTATATGCCAACTCAATTTAATTATGCCCCAAATAAATGATCCATCATCCACCTAATATGGGCCACTCATGGTTTGCTGTCTATATTACATAACCTCATCTTTTCCTACATGAGCGCATTGCGCCACCTTGAGGCCAAGACACAGCAGTGTTGAAGGACCTAGGCTGGGCAGAGGGGTTGCAGGAGCAGCAGCAGCATCGCTGTTCATAACCTTCTACTCATCGGATGCTGTTTGCCCATAGAGCACCTGGTGAGAGACATTTTTGCCATTGTTTTATTTCCCTAACAGGCCTGCGCTGATGCCTTTGGTTGCTTCCTCTGATATAAGGATGGAGACAGTGAAATGAGCTTCGCTGTTTGTGCGACAGACCTATACGTCGCCCATAATGGTCGATCGTGGGATATCAGCAGGCAGCATCCTAAACATGATTTCGTTGGCTTTAAAGCACGTGATAACATATATCTGTCTAAATTAGCCTGTGTTTGGCTTAAAAGGTGTGCGTAAAGAGATGTACTGAACGTGACAGATTAATGCACGCTTCAGATGACATGTCGCTAATAAATGTTAGACTCATTGTGGCCAGTCTTGTGTTTATCCTACAATCTGCGCGATATTGGGATGGAATTAGATGATACTTTTTGCTTATTATTCACTGGTCTTTGGTATCATTCTTAAATGGCTCCACGATGAACGCTGGACTGAGACATGGCCTAACCGAGCTAATTTTCAGGCTTAGTCATTGGCCGACTCTAACCCATCAGCTGCTGCCGCTTGCAGCCTCAGTTGATGTGTGGTCATTTGCAGAGGAGATTCATATCAGAGTGGGTGAAGCCGTGTGTGTGATCAAGCGTCTAAAGAGAAAATCTGGGCCACTAGGAGCCAGCCTACTGAAAGGATGGACCACGTAGTTCTCTATTGGGAGGCTGGGGGCTGTCAAGTCCCATTGGGCTTGAGCTGACGTACAAAAAGGAGCCTCACATATGACAACGTGTGCGTAATTAAATCTTACTAATTCACCTATGACTCTCTCGGAGCATGAGTCAGCAGGCCTGCCTACTAATAATGCAGAGAGGATGTCAGTGAAAAGCGCTGTTGTGCTGTTTTGTGTGCATGGGAATCCTGACAATTGCCTGGAAATCATATGAGAGAATCATGGGGAGCAGAGAAGTGGATTTTCTATTTATGTCTGTAATTTCTCTGTTTCCTTGACTTCCTGTGGTCGGTGTATATGCCTGTCTTCTGTTTGGCTCAGAGTTTCTGGATCTGATTGAATTAGCTGTCATATTACATGTTTTATTATCTCTTTCTTTCTAAGCCCCATCTCCCTGTCACCCTCACATGCACTCTCTTTTTGCACAGTATCCAACTATTCTTCCTCCTTTTTCAGTGGAGTGCGTTGTGAAGCTGATGACAGGACAATCCTGCTGAGCGACTCACTTTGGGAGTTTAGAAGAATGCCTGAAATACTGTAAGCTGTCTCTTTATTTTTGGAACTTACATTTTTTTTAAATTTCTTGTTGTTAGCTGCACTACATGGACTGTTAAGCTTGCCAATGTCCTCGGGTGATAACCGAAATAGCTACTGTGCATATGACACACAAGCACACGCGCAAATGCTGAAATAATTTTTGCTTTATGTAATTATATGAAACAGCATGCCTCATCCACTCGTGTTTACAGTGTAAGAGTATATTTTTTCATTGATCGAAGGATAAATATTTAATGGTCTCATTAATAGATTTATAGCTATAAACTGCAGTCTAACACTGTTCTTGTTTTCAGCAGGATGCATTAAGGGGCACATGTGAACTTGTCAGGCAGAGATGAGTCTGACTTCCTGGTTCCTGGTGAGCGGTGGGGGGACACGCCATCGCCTCCCCAGAGAGATGATCTTTGTAGGAAGGGATGACTGTGAGCTTATGCTGCAGGTACTGTACTGTGAATCCACCCGACATATGATCTGAGCTGTCATTCTTACTCTGACTGGATTTTTATCTGAAGCACTGAGATTAGTGAGGATTATAGTGATTGACTGGATCTTGTATGGTTTAGTCCCGTAGTGTGGACAAACAGCATGCTGTCATCAACTATGAGCCAAATACGGATGAACATAAAGTTAAGGACCTGGGCAGCTTAAATGGGGTGAGTGAATTTTTTTCAATTTATGTGTATGTGTCTTAAAGCAACCCCTGCCTAATGTTTTTTAATGCAATAAAATCTACATCAGCGTGTCCCAAAATTAAATATCAAACATTTCCCTGAAAGTATACCTTATTTATTCTTATTTATTCTTTTTCGGGCCATGGCTTTCTCATCTTCTACTGCTTCCGTTTTTACAAATTTTTATTCGTTTCTCTTAAGCCCTCAGTATTCACAGAAATACATTACTTTGAGTACTAAATTGCCAGAGTGCCCCTTAACTGCTTCAGCAATTTACTGCTTACAAAAGTAGTCGTGAACCTGTTCTAACATAATTTGGTTTCTTCTTTGGATTTAAATTATTTTCCAACCCTAAATAAACTGAAAGACGTCATTTTCGGTAGTGCAAATATTATACATAGCTTATGACAGGCAGCTTGATGGTGCAGCGGTTAGCGCTGTCAGTTCACTGCTCCTGGTTCAAACCTCTTAGTCGGCTGGGGACTTTCTTTGTGGAGCTTGCATGTTCTTCTTGTGCTTCCTGTGAATCTGTGGGTTTCCTCCAAGTGCTCTGGTTTCTTCCCATAACCCAAAGACATAAATTTTATCATAATTAGTGATTCTAAATTGACCGTGGGTGTGTGTGTGTGTGTGTTTGTCTCTCTATGTTCAGGGTCACACCCATGATCCTAATTTGGGTAAGAGCTTTAAGACAGATGGATGAAAAAAGTGGCAGAGTACAAACATTTTTATGTGTACAGATGTTTCCCTGCTTAAATTCAACATGAAATAAGCTTTTTTTTGTTAAATCTGGTTTCTAAAGGTCTGGTACAAAATTAGCACTTGGTTTGTGTGTTATGGACAGCATCATTGTTATGCAAGCAGTACTGAGCATCTCACTTTTGTACAAAGTCCTCATATGTTGTTCCTAACCACATTGGTTCTTTGTTTGTTCCCAGACATTTGTCAACGATGTCAGAATACAGGAGCAAATCTATGTCACGCTGAAAATTGATGACAAATTGAGGTTTGGATATGATATCCTTTGAATGTGTTCTTGTGTTATCTGTCAAACCAAGTAGCACGCAGTACAAGGTCAGTGAACATGGGGTGCACTGTAACTTTATCTGTTCTTGAATAGCCTGTGAATTCTCATTGCACTCTGCCTACTGCATAATAGATAAGGCTATCAGTGCAGGTTTCTCATCCCTGCAAAGGGCTCGTCATCTTTTACCTTAACTTGTCTCACATACCAACCTGTTTACTGTGGTTCGAGGAGAGATGCATATTCCTGAGGAGGCCCTCAAGGTTAGATGACACGCTACACAGAAGAACAATATTCATATGTTTGAAGACGATGTAAATAGTTGTGTTTGAAACTGGATAGGTGCAAAGATCTTGTACTTTTTCATCAGTTAGGAGCAATATTGTAGAGAATAGATCAAAGAGTTCTGCTGAAGTGGGCAAAATGACTTTTCAAGATTGATGGATTTGCTGTTTCATCAACAAATACTGCCCAGGTAGCTGCGGAAAAAAACAAAAAAATGCAGATGTTTTATTCATGAGCTAGATGAACATAGCACATTATCATTCAAAATATATGCAAACAGTATGGCATACGATCAGTATGCCTAACTGTATGCTATCTGGAAGATTAAAAAGCAAGAAAAAATCTAGACAAGATATACATCTTAATTATTTTGACGGTATTGTGTAACCTTTGTCTTTTGTTAATTTCCCTTGTTTCTGTTGTCTAATTTGTCAGCATGAAAAGTTTAGCAGCCAACTTCAGTTGAACCAGAAGAAACTCCCAGAGGCAGAATCATCCAAATCTCAAGTCAAACCACCTGAGGCAGCAGCTGCACCGGTGTGTGAGGGAGCCACTGCCAAGCCAAGTGAGGCCAACAGGTCAGAGGACAAGGCAACAGGTAAGTCTGAGCATTGAAAGTTAAAGGACACTGGACACATATAATATAGTACCTAATACCTTGAATCGATAAAATATTCCCAGATACATAAACTGATAATGAAAGAATTTTTAGAGGTAGTTCTTAAATAGATTTTAGGACTACAAACTATAGCAGCCGTACTCTGGGACAGTGGCAGAAGTTTGGTAATTTAGCTTCTGTATAATGCCACAGAGGATTCAAAATCAGACAGTCAAGATGTGTGAAATGTATTTCCCTGTTTTCACAGGTTCAGATGAAGTCTTTTCTGTTATTATTTAATGACAAATTAGACAGATAAAAGACAGCTAATTCCAAATGTTGAACTTGCATTGCACTCTTAGTATGATCCAAAGAGATGTAAAACAAAGGAATGCAGTGGTCCACCCAGCAACACCCCAAGGCCTGAAAGACCATGAAAAACAACTAAAGTCAATGATCACAGAGGGTTGCAAGGTTGTTACCTTACAATAAAAAGCACCTTGGGCAACTGTTGTGATTTGACACTATATAAATAGAATTTAACTGAATCAAGGGCCTAACTATAGATGGCAAATTATATGCAGTAATATTGGGGATGTTGCATTACAATGACCTTTACCTGAAGCCTATTTAGGGTCTCTAAGCCTCAATTAATACATATGTGCATTCCTATATATAAAGAAATGTACTGTTTTGGCAGGGGATGTCACAGTGCTGCACAGGGGTACCCCCCTGTATGGCCAGCCTGCCTGGTGGGGAGATGGAGACACTGAAGACCAGCATCCAGGAAAGTCAGAGGACAAGAGTTCAGACCGGAAACGAGAAAAAGTTGAAGCAGGTACCAACAATTATTGCTCATTATCAGTTTTCTTTGGTTTACTTTTTTGGAAATATTACAAATATCCTGTAAACTTTATGGTGCCAGACAAATATCTTTGTATTAACTGTGCCAGAATCTAAGAAAAGTGAGGAGATCCCAAAGTGTACCCTGCAAACAGCCTCTAATCAGGAGCCTAGCTACTTCGAGATCCCAACAAAGGATGCAAAGGATCCCTCAGGAAGTAAAGTCAGCAGTGAATCCATCTCAAAAGAACAAGAGGGTGGTGCTTCTGCTGCAGCAGAGCCCGCCCATGGCCACGCCTCCTTCACCATTGAGTTTGATCCTGGGGCCTCAGGTAAAGTGACTGTCAAAGACAGGGTTGCGAAGGTAGGACCAGAGACCAGGCCACGCCCTAAAAGGGCTGTTGGGGAGGAGCTGAGTCCTCTTCAGACAGCCATGGTCGCAGCAGAAGTCAAAGTTGCTGACTGGCTTGCTCAGAATGAGTTACCATTGGCTCTGAAAGAAACGGTTGCAGAGGATGATGGAGAAAGCGTGAAAAGCGATGTGCCTGTACAACTGCGGAGTCTTAAAGGTGTGTTTATATGATATAGAGTTTGGTATAGTGTACAGTATTACATGCGATACTTACTTTATCACTCTTATGCAACATTTTGATCTATTACCTCACTCTCCAGGTAGTAAACATGAGGATGGCACTCAAAGTGATTCAGAAAATGCACTGGGTGAACAGCGCAGGGCTGCAGCGCTAGAAGAGCGCTCATGGGGACTCTGGGGAAGCACGGGGATGAAGATCAGAGAGGGTCGTGCAAACGTACCAGAGGGTCTCTTTGCAGAGGAAGACAGTCCTGCACGTCGTCGTAAACCTTCAACATCCAAAGTGGCAGAGAGGAGACGTGGCTCAGCACCCCATCAACAGAGCGGGCGCGACGAGTGCTATCATCATGGAGATGATTATAGTGATAGAGGGACTTATACCATCGAGCTGGAGAATGGAGATCATGAAGAAGAAGAGGCTAGGAAACTGATTGACAAGGTAAAAACGTTAAAGTTGTAACTCTTTTTTATAGTTTATCATCTAATCTCCTGATCATAATATGTTTTCTTACTTGTGTATATGTTAGGTGTTTGGTGTGGACCAGGAGTCTGGGTCCAGGGTGGGCAGTGCTGACCAGAGAGAAAGACTCACCTCCCAAAGGTCTGGCACTGGAGACCGAGGAAAACCCGGACGCATGGAGACAGAGGTGTAACAGCGTTCTTCTAAGTTATACTCAATAAGCTGTCTGACTAAAGCAACATCTGTTTCCAGTTATTAACATGTTTTTGTTTTATTTCCACGTTTGCTTGTGTAGGTCTTGTCTGAAGAGTTGATGGTGGGTGGTCCACGCTGGGTGTCGCAGTGGGCTACTCTAGCTGCCAGTCATATTAGGACTGACCCTGAAGGGTCAGGAGGCGAAAGCCACATCTTGGTCACGGAGGACAGAGGTATTAAGTTTAGGTTTACTGAATCTCAAAAAAGGATTCCTTTAATATTTATTAAATTAATTTCAGCATTTTGTTCATGCTTCAGTATGTAAACTTTTGCTAAACAAAGTCCACAGGGGCCAATCACACACTGGGGTTAAATGATAAACATGTTGTAAAAGCAGCATAAGTAGACAGGTGTCACAAATTTACTCATAATTTAGTTATACAGCAGTCTGTCACATTAGGCTTGTCATTTTTTTGTAATGTCTATGGTATACTGTTACAGTGGTGGATAATTACAATGCAAAGAGTAATCCAGATGAGATAGAAGTTAAATTAATTTGTCTAGGATATGAATGCTTGCAGGCCTTCTTCTTAGTTGGTTTGTGCAATATAGCCAACCAATGACAACTTATCACTCTCTTTATGTAGTTTCTACTCTTCAGACTGTGGACAACAAATAGAGTGGCCATCTTAGGCACACAGCAGCCACTCAGAAGAAAGTTAGCTTAGGTGGTCTCCTTAAATGCACAGAAGCTAAAATGGCATGTGTCAGAAAGAGTATGACGCCTTCTTCAGGTTACCTAACATAGCTGCCAGGCTGCTGGTCACATTTCACCAAATAGGCATTAGGCAAGCAACTTTTCATATCCAAAAGGAAGATTTATTCCTGTTTATTTCACTAACATACAGCAGACTGTAATTATTTGCATTTGGCATAATAGAGTAACGTGACCACAGTGAAGCCAGAGGTTTCATGTTAAAATATTGAAGTATCGCAATATTTTACAAGTGGAAGACAAAATAGTTTCTTAACTTGTGCCACTTTCAGTCAAAGGTCTGAAATTACAGCTTTTTTGTTTTGTAAAGAAAATAACCTTTTTGACTAACTACAGTGGAACCCCGACTTACGAATACCCCATTTAACGAAGAAGGCCTGCAAGCATTCATATCCTTGACAAATTAATTTAACTTTTATCTCATCTGGCAATATTTCTGCCCGTGTTACGGCAATATGCCCGCGTAACGAAATCCATTGGCTCTGATTGGCTGAGCCCAGAATGCCCACAATGTTTTCCGAATCATGTGACAACCCCCTTGGCTTTCGAACTTGCACTTCACTGTTCCACTTGAACGACGTATTGTTGTTGCAGTTAGCAATTAGCCTATAGCCTATCGTTCACTCAAAAGGCTCGATGGGTGCTTTGACTTACGAAAGACCCTCGGGAACAAATTAATTTCGTAATTCGTAAATCTGGCAAACACCTCTAGCAGTGCACTGATTCTACCAGTATATAATCCACTATGTATGTTTAATGCACATTTTGATCAAATATTTTCTTTCTTTTCAGCTGATATAAGTGAATCCAGCCACTCAGCCTCCTTTGCCTCTACTGGGTACACAGAGCGCAAGAGGAGAACCCTACCCCAGCTGCCTGGTGAGGATCTCAGCCTAGGAAGGAGGACCCCAGGCTCGGGTCTACGTGCAGATATGGGGGAGAAACAGGACACAGAGCTACAGGAGAAAGAAAACCAGGAGGAAAAGGTGAGCAGAGGAAAGACTCGACCTGGCCAGTGCACAGGAGGTGTGGGCAGTCACAGTTGCAGCCCTAGTCGTTCGTCACCAGCCAAGTCGCAGGATAGTGGTGGTGGGAGGTCAAGTCAGTCAGGTGTGTTGACAAAGCTCCCACCTCGTCCCATGACTAGCGGGGAAAAAAGAATGGAGGAAGTACGGAGGAGGAAAAATGAAGAGGAGAAAGCCAGGGAAAGTAGTGGGAAACCCCTGTTGAGACAGGAGAGCTTCACTGTGGAGAAACCAAGTTCCAACGTCCCTATAGAGCTCATACCACGTATTGATGGTCTCACAGGCAAAACTCAATCTAGAGAGCCTGGCATCGACAGCGCCACACTGCAGAAAGACTCAGAGGCTGTAGCAGCCTTTCTAGAAACCACTGTGTCAGACCAAGGCGATCCCCCAAGTCAGTCCATTGAAGGATCCATGTCACCAGAGTCAGATGTTGACACGACAAGTACAGTAAGCCAAGCTGATGGAGCAAGGAAAGTAGTCCAGAAACGCCGAACTCTAGCAGGACAGCAGAAAGAAAAAACTGTAGTGTGCTCATCTGGCAAGGGTCCTGCTGGTGGTAGGGAGACCCAGGACAAGAGGGTCAAGAATAGAACTTCTGGTCCTTCACAGCCAAACCGTCCTTGGACTTCCCTGGATCTCACTGATGATGATGTCAACTCCAATTCTCTCTTATCAGACTCACAGCCCACCTCCACGAAAGACTCCAAATACTCACATGCTAGAGGTCAGACAGGGAGCACAACAGTTGGAGCTAGCACTAAGTCTAGCCGGGCTAAGATCAGTCAAGCTCCTGCCTCTGCTTCCGCCAGTAAAGCCACCAGTGTCCCCAAGCCCAGGCCTACCAGGGCATCACTGTTGCGGCGAGCCCGGCTGGGGGATTCCTCTGACACTGAACCTGCTGACCTAGACCGGATGTCTGTGGCCTCTGAGGCCTCCACTGCTAGTTCCACATCCAAGACAGGGATGGCAAAAAGAGGCATGTCCAGAATAGAAGCTCTGGCACAGCCAAGGAGGCCAAGAGTGGGCTCCCCGTCTGCCCAGAGTGACTCAGAGGCCACTGTGACAAGGAGTAGAGGTCTGGGTGCCCGCGGTGCAGGTGATTATGGCATCAGGCAAGGATTGAGAGGGTCCAATGTGACTTCAATGCCTGGACCCAGAGCAAGAGCTAACAGTGCCTCCAAGCTACCTGACAAGAGTAAAGGAGCCTCATCACATGCCACACCTGCATGTAAGTCTTTAAATGTTCCTCATGATGCTTTGACTGCCAAAAGATTGTACAGTTACCTGCAATTATCTACTTAAAGAAGAATTCATCTGGCATCTTAAGCTTCACTGCCATTCTTTCCTCAGCTGGAACTCGGTGGCGCCGTGTACCCGTGGAGTATGCTTCCACCTCAGAGGATGAGTATGGCTCAAATCGTCACATATCCAAGCAGGGGCACACACGGCTATTCCCGTCTACTCGAGTAGCCCAGCTTGGAGGTTCAGCTCCAGCAACCCCAAATCCTGCAGGCCTAGCTACCGTGAAGCAGCACTCTAGAGAGCAGGATGAGTATATGAGAGATTGGACAGCACACAGCGAGGAAATAGCCAGGTACGTAGGTGAGAAGTACTCCTGTGTATATGAGTGGATGAATGAGTCAGATAGCAGTATTCTAACACATTTTTTCTGCTTTAGGGCATGTGCCTCTTTATTGCTTCTTTTTTTTAGCTTAGGGTTGCAGTTCTTTTTATTGGATCTTATTTTAAAGCTGTTATTTTGTTTTAAATAAATATCACAAAATAACACAACAAAATAACATCATACTTATGTTTGCTCCACAGGATAAGTCAAGATCTTGCAAAAGACCTGGCCATGCTAGCCAGAGAGATTCATGATGTGGCAGGGGAGATTGACTCAGTGAGCCCTGCAGCGACCGACCCTGGAGCTCTGGTATAGTTGTTGCATCTTAAACTAATTATAGCATACAAAATATAAGGATTCAGTTTATTCAATAACATTCATAGCAATCCTAATGCTAATAGAATACAGATTCTTAATTCTTAAGTCTGATTACATAACATGGACAAAAAAATAGGATCTGAGGAAAGAATATCAATTTTCAATATATTTTATTTCCGTTTCAGTTGGAGGAGCATGTGTTTGATGACAGTTTGGACCTCGGCGGCTCCTCCACACAGCATAATAGCATTCTGGGAACCAATGGGCAGTCTGTGGAGCTTCGATCTCGTAGGTCTAGCGGACAGAGCTCCCGGTCCATTCGGCGACAGACATGGAATAGAGATGATGTAAGGCCTTGCTTCAATTTTAAATATAATGTTCTCCTCAATATATGGCCTGCTATGTACCATACTGCTAATGTAGATTTTGAATTTGATGTGCTTCTCTGCATTAGAAAGTGAAAGTATGCGAACCAGCATACACAGCAAGTTTAGAGTTATGTTAAGAGCAAAAATAGCAAGACGTTCATGTCAGTCTGTGCCACTGTTTGTCACTAGAGGGAGCTCGATACATGCTAGTTACAGTCATCCCTTAATAGGCCAATCTAAACCTAAAAGCAGTGGTAAAGCTAATGAAAAAATGATGTACTGAAATTATCTAAATGTAGCAATAGTACAGATTGTTTACATTTTACCGTGTCAATTAATCACTTTTTGCCACTAATTTATAACTGGTAAATTCAGATGATAATTTTTTACTGTCTTTCAGGCGGTCCCAGACAATTTGCTGCTAGCTTCTGTGACTCAGCTGTCAACCAGGATACGCCAATCTGTTGACAGAACAACCTGCAAAATCAGGCAAGTATTGTTTGACTACGCTAAACAAAAATTGATTTTCACGTGTTGTTGTGGTTATTTATATATTCAATGCACACACTACAGAGGGATTGCATGATACAAATATTGTCTGTGTGTGTACAGATTCTTGTCTGTGTTTTTTGTTGGAAATAGCAGGTGACACAGTTTGAATGACACATCACACAGGCTTACTCCACCACCCAGTTACATATTTTTCTCATTAGAATGACAGTTCAAAGGCTGATTTTTCAATGCTACAATGTGCTGATGGCATCTGAATGAAATAATTTAAGCAGTAACTTAATCTATATTAAACATGTTTTATGTATTTTACTTTTATCCTATTTTTGTAACAACCTGGCTTTGCAGGATCCTCTTCAAGGATAAAGAACGAAAATGGGATGAGATTGAGACCAAACTGCAAGCAGAGCATGACTCCTTACTGCTCAAGAGCTCAAACAAGGTGATGAATCTGCTGAAGGCTTGTGAAACAGACAGGACTGTGATATTTATAGCCAAATAGGCAGCACTGGTGTAGAAATTACAATATTAGTCTAGCATTTTGGTCCATCAGTCAGTACAGCGCTTGTTCACCGTGAAATATTTTAAAAGGATGGATTGCAATGGAGAAAAACAGATACAGTGTGTAACAAGATTGCGATCCAATTCTGTCTTTATTTTACGGAGACTCTACATTTAATGTATTGAAGCTTCTGGAATGTGAGCCGATAGATAACCAACCGCAAACTCATCTTTCCTTATTGGGGACAGTTTAATTCAACCAAATTTTAAAAAAGAAGTCCACAGTCACAGTATATTCCATAAGTACACATTTATAGAAGTAATCTTTTAGCCTTTTCTTGGCTTGAATTAATTGAACACTATTTTAAATCCAGTCATTCCCTACCATTTTCTGATTACTTATTCCAAGCAATCATAGTGAGTGCTCACAGTGCTATAGCTGTTTGGAGAATCAAATGAACAATGTTATACACCCTTTAGATTAACTTCAAATTAATTTCAGTATTTAGGCACCAAATGTGATTACACTGTTTGGAGAAAAAAAAAAAGACTTACAACTTTACCTCTACACACTTTTACCTCTCTCCAGCGCAGGATCATAAATTCTGACTGTAACACTGTCTGGCCTCATGTGAACCTCTGAAAAGAGATATGTGTGTCCACGACACAAGTTAAAGGGCTCGTAAAGCATTACGGAGTGTAAAGGGCTCGGCTCCAAACTTTTTCCAGAGGCAATGAAAAGATTAATCGAGTTGATTTATTTGCTGTAAGAGCCTTCACTTACTTAATCAGGCCTGAGACCAGCTTTCATTTTTTTATCACATTCTCTTAACAGGAAATTTCAACCATCATTCAAGACTTGAAGAGGGTGGAAAGACAACTGATGGGTATGGCTCTACCTATGCTTCTCTTTAGTTTTTGGAAGAAAAGCGTGAAATATTGTATTGTTGTATTATATTCTGCAGTGTTACTGCAGTCTACACCACGGGAGGTCTTATGATGTATTAAGTGGGACTGTTTTTCTCTGCTCCAAACTGGCAGTAATTGACATGATGGTAGATCCAGATGGAACTCTGGGTGCCCTGTCCAACCTGGGCTTGACCAGTCCTCTGACTGACCAGAAGATCAGCCCAGGGGCTCAGCAGAGGGCAGATGTGTTACAAACTGAAACAGAAGCTTCTTCACGCACACTTTCATCCTCCAGGCCTGAATTACTGTCCACTGAACCTGTTGGATCTTCAAACCACGCAGAAGTGTCAGAACGAGACCCAGGGCTACAGCAGAGCTCTAATTCCTACAACTGACATTCCACGGTGGAATAATCCAGAATGCAATCTATTGGAGATATCAGACACCCTCAGAGCAGACCCTGGTGTGAGGTTAGACGTTTTTCTGAGATAAGATGAGGACCCAGAACAATGCCTTTTATATGGAAAAGTCTCTCTGCTCTGTCAGTCAAAGAAAATTATGTTAGGACTCTAAAATTCCAACACTGTCAAAGGGAATCTCTTGAGATGACAGCTCTATTATATGACAATATTACACTATTAACTGCTAGGCTAACGAAGAAGCTTTGACATCATATACAGTAACCCATCTGTGTTTTTGTGTTGCAGCTCATTATCATTACCCATTATTCTTGGAAACATTTGAGAAAAAGGGCAGATGTGATGTTAAACCTAAACCTACCAAATTCCCTTTTATATTCTACTGTTTTGGCTTGAAATGAGCAAAAGCAGACCAACCTTTTACCTTGCATTCTTTGCAAGTGACACAAAAGCTTGGCAGACTTAGAGCCAACATGGAAACCCAAATTGAAAAGGTGCAATAGTGTCAAGGAGCCATGTTTGAAAGTGTTCTTCTGTCCTGCCTAAGAGTTATTTATCAAATTATTAGGGGTGCAAC